CGAGCCGGACGCGCGTCGCACCCGGCGGAGGCTTGAGTTTCGGGGCGGGGGGGGGGGCGCCAGTGTGGGGCTTTGCCCTGCCTGGCCCGGACGGTCCGGAGTCTCTGGGCTCTGCCGCCTTCTTGCCCTGGTAGCCGCCGAGAGGGAGGACCCGGGCGCTCTCTGCCCACGATGCCCACCAGCCACGCCTCACCTCTCGCTTCGTTTCCGGACTCGGCTTAAGAGGAGTAAAGGGGAAAGAAGGGGAAATAAAGGGGGGGGGGGAGAAGGGCAGTGAGGAAGCGTTGGGTTAGAATGGAGGGGACGGGACAGGCAGGGGTGTCCGGCTCCTCCTGTGCCTGTCTCGGGGGTCCTTCCTGAGAGTGGAAAATGGGCCGAGAGGAGGGGGAGGCAGAAAGAGCGTCGAGGAAAAGCTTGGCGGCCGCCTTCCGTTGCCATCCCTCCTCGCCCGCAGGAATCCTGCAAAAGTGGCGTTAGTTCGCTCGCTGCGCTCCGGGGCGAGGCAGGGGAAGGCCGAGGGCAGGGCGGCGCCGCGCCTCTAGTCACCGACGGGGCCGCGGCCGGGCACCGAGCGAAAGGGGGCTCACACCTGTTTGGCGAGCGGCAGCCCGGCCGCCGCGGCTCCCGAGGCAGGGCCCTCCCTCCCGCACCCAGGACCGCGGTGCCGGAACCGGGACCGCCCGGCTACCCCGCGCCGGCCCGCTTTTGCAGGAGAACCGGAATTCAGGAGCCCTTTGGCTGCCCGGCGAAGCTATGGCGCGCGGCGGCCGGACTCGGGTAGCCCGCGGGGCGGGGCTGTTCCCGGGCTCAAGGTGCTTGGACTTTGATCGAAGGCAACTTCCTCCGAGCCCCTGCCCCGCGGGCCCCGTCCGACTGCGGACCAGGGCCCCTCGCGCGTGTCCGTTCTTCGCCGGCCGGCGCCCTCGTTCTCCATCCAAAGTTACAGATACATTGTTTCGGGTGGAGGTCGTTGGGACCTAAAGTATTCTTTGTGCAAAGGCAACCGAGAGCTGCAAGGAGAGGCCAAGCCGAGGAGTGGCGGCCTCGGCTCTACGTTGTCCCGAAGTTGATGTAGGTTTCGTCTACACCTCTTCTTCCTCTGTTTTTCCTAAAAGAGTTGCTTTTTCTCGGGTTAAGACTCTTACTGTTGAATCCTGCACCGCTGACTGAGCCGGCAGCCCCGCAGCCCCTCACTGTAGACAGGCCGGGCTCTCTCGGATTCGCACCCCTTAGCCAAGCCAGGCCTTGGGTCGGGGTCCAAATCTGGGACCGACACCTGGCCGCGTCTGATTCACAGGCGTTGGCCCCAGCCCCGAAACGGTGTTAGCCTCGTGCTTCCTGAGCTGTTGCATATGGTGGTAAAATTTGTGTTAGAGCCGTGTTTCCAGATACCCCCTGGGCATTTGGTGTGCGGGAATTCTCTTCTGGGCAAGAAGTCTGTGAACTTAAAAAATTGTTTTTCTTTCCTGAGTTCTTCACAACCCCCCACTACCCTGGCCCCATTTCCCATTGTTCTTTGCTTTTTAAGTTGCCTGTTAATTTTTTTAAAGTTTATTTATGCAAAGGAAAAAAACATCATTTAATTTGTTCTATTATTTTCATTCCTGGCTTTTGGAAACAGTTCAGAGACCACAAAAATGTCACCTGTTGTAATAAGCAGAAGTGTTGTGTGTGCATTGTAATTGCCAGCAGAATCATAGTTTGGTGGGCGTTCGGAGCGCAGGCTCCGGAGAGAGGCTTTGCAGCTTTCTTTGTGGCAGTCATTTATTTGCAAGTGGGTTTGGCTCCCAGCAGCCGCGGTGTGGCTTCCTTCTACACCCATCCCTGGCGCGGGTCAGGAAGCCCAGACCCTGGACAGGGATGGTCAGAAACTAAAGTAAAAAATTGCCCGCTCTCAGAGACTTTGTCTCCGGCTTTTGGTTTTTCTACGCGAAAGTGGCTAGTTTGCGCCGGAGAGCGGAGAGCCCTGCGCATCAGCCCAGACTCAGACGTTTACACGTTCCAAACACCAGCTTCTTCATTTCATTTGTCTTGCTTCTGGCATGTTTAACCACGCAATTCCTGATCTCACTAATTATTCAGTTAGTCGGCGTTTTGTAATCACTTTAAACCAGGGTCGAGGGTGCGATTTAACAAACAAACTCCCACACTTACAGACCCGAACCAAACCCACCATGTCAAGGATTTGAAATTTTTAAAGCTCAATATCTGTTGGTCCCTCCGTCCAACCTCACCGCCTGCCAGACAATTTATTTAGCTTCGTGGATTGATCCCTCCTCCTTGTTTAGTTAATTCAACAAAGACTTTTTGCAATCTGTTTGGAGTTTGTCTGATGCCGTGGAAAAGTAGCTGATGATTTATTTGGTTGCTTTTCGATTTCTGTCTTCAGCCCTTCTTTCTCCTCCTTTCAGCAGGGATGTCAGCTGTTATTACTTCCTATTGATCCCTTTGCAAAGTGAGAAGTGAACTAAAATTAATGTCAATTCCACTGCTCAGATCAATAGCTGGAGTTATTTTAATCTGGATTTGCACGAAGTGCTAAATTAAAAAAAATCAGCATAGAGGCAGAAAAGTAACAGTTACTTACTTTCCCTTTGCCCAGTTCTTTACAGTCACCCAAATGCTCCATCAAGCTGATTATCTTACAATCCATATTTTTTTAATTAAGAGGGTCAGTTAGTTTTCTTATTTTGGGTTCTGTGTTTAAACCCATGACATTTTGACATTGGGAGTGTATTAACTATAGATTTTCATAATGACTGTGGTCTGCTGAAGCCTCATCTATACAAGTTGTTAATGTGAGGAGGGCGTAAGAAAGAAAAAGGAAAAGAAAAAGAGCACTCCCCCTCCCCCACAGAGGCCAACGCCCACACAGTAGAGTAAAAGGGATGTGGCCTGGAAAAATATTGTTGATTTATTTTCAGTATAATGAAGTTTCAAATGAATAACCAGGTTTGAGTGATTCACCATGTTCTGGTGGAGTGTCCGGTGCTGTCGCCAGATTACTAATTTATGAAACTCATTTAACATAATGAGGTGATCCAGGAAGTAAAAATAGGCAGTGAATCTGAATCCTCTGGGTGATTGGTTATTTGGGGGGAGAAACATTCCTCCCTTCAGCCCCAGTGTGTTATGTTTGCCCTTTTCTCCAGCCTGCCTCATATAATATTGCTTGCTGATGGACAAGTAGTTATTTCTGTTGTGAAGAGCTGGTCGGAACCCTTGGAACAGCCCTAGACCCACTTTCAGAGCATCCATGTTGTGTGACCATTCATCTGACTTGAAAACAGCCAAGAACAGGATTCCCAGACTTGCCAGGCGCACTGTCTGTCCTTGGCAGATCATTCCCTGCACTGCTATAACTTGACAGGAAAGTTATTTAAAATTTGGAAGAGAGAAAAATCCGTTAATGTGAGATACATAATCTGGTAATTTAGCAATGATGTCTATAAGGAAAGATGCCAAACGAGGAAGCAGTCTGATGGTGTGCACTCATCTTCCCAATTAATAACAGCCATTGACACGTCTACTACAGGATGGGAGAAGGAAATACTCTCTTTGCACTGCATTAAGCCAGGAGGATTCATCTACAGTTTAACTGAGGTTTCTCTGTTGAGGGAAGACAAATATAGACACTCCATTATCTAGGTGGGTTTTTTTTAAAAGGGAGGGGGTAAATTTTACTTGAGACATGACTGTCAATTGAAAGGTTATAATTTACAGCAGATGGTGATTTTTGGTTATACTTCGAGTTTAAGTTTCTATTTAGTGTGTATATTTGAAGTTAATATGTCCTAGTATTCATCGTGTGTTATACGGACTTTTGATATATAGCCCTTCTCCCACTTCCCATTCAAAATAAATTTGAAACAGAATCAATGGCTGTGAAAATGTACAACCTAAATTTAAAAGAGAAATTGAAAGAAGTCTCCTCGAACTGCAATTTGTTCCAGGGGCCTTCATTGGGCATCAGCTCTGACTGGGCCAACAAGCAGAGCAAAATAAGTCAGAAATTTTGTTAACATTTTGCTCTAAATGTTAATGGCAAATTCAAGGCAGTTTACAAATCTACTTAAGAGTGAGTGCATTAGTAACTAGAATTACCGATCCATTCTTTGCTGCCCCTGAAAGACAGACGCTGTTAGAGAACATATGCCAAAGGCACCCATTACGTTTTTAAATATTTTCAGAGACACCAGGCATTTTATTGATGAAGGTTTTGTTTCTTCTCAGAAGAGAGAAAGCCTGTGTGTTTAGAGCGGGGTGTGCAGCACTTCTTTCTGAAAACAGTCCTAGATGATGCATGAAGATATGTGTTTATGTATGTGCCAATGTGTGTGGTTTGTCCACATGCACAATTTGTACTGCCTAACATGTACAGATGTTCATAGTCTAGATGTGCTTGCTTTAGGGATTTTTCAGTGTGAGGGCGTTGTTAAGGGAGATGAATTGGAGACTCATACTATATAGGGGGTCGTAGAGGTAGATCCTGGTCTCTGTTTAAACATCAGGCCTGCCATGAGTGGTGTATGCAGGTGGGAGCCCTTTAAAACATAGACCCCACCTAATCTACTGGGTGACTTGGCCTTCCAAAGCTCATTTGCTCAGGGAATATTGTATGTGGAGGTTTTATGATTTTTTTTCCTTTGCTGGGCTCAGGCGCATTTCACCCGGAACGTGTAGGGACCAAAGTCAGCTACGCGTACATCACAGTAAGTTGTCTATTGATTTTCCTGAATGAAAATGGTCTGATGCTGCTGCCCACTCGCTCCTAAAGCCTGTGGCGTCTCTTGCCCGAGCCAGAAGCCAGAAGGATGGTGTTTCAGTCACTTGGGGTTTCCCATTTTTTCCTCCCCCTAACCTCCACCCCCCATTTTTTCTCTTTGCTGTTTCTTCAGGTCTTAGAAGGGGATGATGCCCCAGTAACATTCCCTGCCCTGATCCAAGGTGCCGCTCAGCCTCCCTCCCGGGGAAGACTACTTCTTGTGTGACACGGGCCATAGAAAGAAACTCCAATGGACTTACACCGGGCAGCCTTCAAGATGGAGAACTCGTCCTACCTCCCCAACCCGCTGGCATCCCCAGCACTGATGGTTCTGGCGTCCACGGCTGAGGCCAGCCGTGATGCTTCCATCCCTTGTCAGCAGCCACGACCCTTTGGTGTACCTGTCTCAGTAGACAAGGACGTGCATATTCCATTCACCAACGGTTCCTACACCTTTGCCTCTATGTACCATCGGCAGGGTGGGGTGCCGGGCACTTTTGCCAATCGTGATTTTCCCCCTTCTTTACTACATCTCCACCCCCAGTTTGCTCCCCCAAATCTAGATTGCACTCCAATCAGCATGCTGAATCACAGTGGTGTGGGAGCTTTCCGTCCCTTTGCTTCCACTGAGGACAGGGAGAGTTATCAGTCAGCCTTTACACCAGCCAAGAGACTGAAGAACTGCCATGACACAGAGTCTCCCCACTTGCGCTTCTCAGATGCAGATGGCAAGGAATATGACTTTGGGACACAACTGCCATCTAGCTCCCCCGGTTCACTTAAGGTTGATGACACTGGGAAGAAGATTTTTGCTGTCTCTGGCCTCATTTCGGATCGAGAAGCCTCATCTAGCCCAGAGGATCGGAATGACAGATGTAAGTACTTCGGTGTGAGCCCTCCCGACCCCTAGTAAGCTCTGCCTGACGGTGGTGTTCAACAGGTTGGTGGTCTTCCTCCTGCTCCTAGTCATGGGAAGGGCCAGTTCCTTCCCGTGCCATGGCTTGGGAAGGTTAACATTTACTTGTCCCTGTCAGTAAGCATTGAGTGTTCTGTAGGAAATGTTTTTCTGAAGGTAGCCAGAGGCAGGTTGACCTCCACAATGCCTTTCTCTCCAGGGTGTGATTGGCTTATTCCCTGGGGACTCTGGAGTGAAGACCGGTGCCATATAGGTACTGGAGTGAATGTCATGTCATTGGAAATGTAGGTTCCTAGGGAATTTGGGGGGCCTGAACAAACTCATCCACCCCTCTTCTCTTTGCTATCCTCATTATGTTTCTCTGATCTCAGTATTCTATTTTAGCTTTTCCATTGTATCACATCCAGTAGACTCCACGTGAATTTATTGTCACAACTCTCAGCCCTTGTCCACATCAGGCTATTTTTCAAAGCAGGACAAAGGTGTCGTCAATCACCATAAAGCATTTCAAACAGCTGTATTTTTCTTGCAATTGCAAAGCTAGAAAGCCGACTTCTCTTGGGATTTAACAGGTTTGCTGGATGCTTATCCTGGGGCTCACTTTTAGGACTAGACACGGTTGGCCTGTGTGACTGCTCCATATTTGATGTTCACAACTGTTATTAATTTCTGCTTATGGAACAGCTTTCTCGTGTTCTCCAAGTGCCTTGTTGGGCTCCTGCTACCCTCCCTAAACCTTGATTTGGAACTTGTAGACTAGGACTACTGAACCCTGCAATCTTCTCATCTAATGTAATGTAATCAGAAAATAATTGTGTTTTGAAGCTTTTGGGCTGTGGGTAGACAGAGCAGTTTTCTTCAAGCCTGGTGAAAATTTATGAACTCAGGGTGTTTTTCCACCCAACCCTTTGTTCTAAGATTTGCTTCATTTTGTTTTCTTAAGAAAACTACATCTGAGGTTTGCTTTCCCCCTTCTCTATTTTTCTGTGCTCCCATCCTCCCTATAACTACCAACATGAACAGCATTTTTTTCTCTTCCCTTTATGATGCCGAGGAGAGTAATAGAGACATTGCAGCCCTCTCCCCTGTCGGCACTGCTTCCTCAGGCTGTCTCCTTGAATTAGGCACTGTGTTAACTTTCCTGCGCTCAAAGGCATCTGCCTAAACCCAGCGTACCTTTTCAATAAAAGTCATCATAAAATCAACCTGCCTTGTAAATCCATCGCTCTTTGGTTTTGAAATATGTTGCAAGTGTGTCTTTTATGTCAGCGTCTGTAAGCCCGAGACCTCCCCACTTAAGGGAGAAGGCTTCTCTGTGACAGACAACTGCCCGAGTGCTCTCCCACTTTTGCTTCAGTTCCTCTTCCACCTTTTCCCTTCCTGTACGGCTGACGTGTGTGTTATGATCCCAGTGTTGGATGTGCCTGCTGAACAGGGACCGGCTTTGCCTTGGCCTGTGTTATTTCAGCTAATTTGGTTTTCATTTGTCAGTATGCAAGTGATCAAGGCTAGCTGTAATCTGTCCTCTGGCTAAAATTGCTCTGGATTAGGGTGTGACACATTCTGCCCTTATTTCCTCCAAGAACACAAGTTGAAAATGAAATCCTCTCGAAACTAATATGCCACAAAGTAACATCCGCAGATAAAGATTCCTTTCTTTTCTCCTAACAGATCCAGCTTGTCTCCATTTTTCTATCTTTTTAGCCCAAACCTGTATCATGCCCCCAGAGCAGGAGGAAGCTTGTTAGTCAAGTCAGAACTCATAGATGTGGATATCCATTCCCCTCCGAGTGTCAAAGCCATAACTCTTCTGTTTGCCTGGTTTGCATTGTGTGGTGGTGCCATCCCCCATGGAGATGGATCCCTCACACAGGAATACGCCTGGGTGGAGAAAAATTAAATGAGTCTGTCTCCCAAAGTGAAATGGGATTCTGACCTTGAAATTAATGAGATTCTGATCAGAAGGGTGGGGAAACTTCTTTATTTCAGATTGTACTGTTACATAAATTGCAGCCCATTCCCCCTCTGTTTAAAATATTCTTCCTTTACATAGTAGTTTATGTTCTCTTTTTTCTCTTACACAAATATTCAGCCTATAGATGTGTGAGTGCATGTGGGATGTTTGTACACCCACAGTATTATCTGGAATCCCATTTGGGACTAATCTTGAACAAAAAAAGGTACAAAGTGAAGAAGAGACTGTTGCCCGGTGATAACCCTGAAGCTGTGCTCTCTTCTCCTTTCTTTTTCTTGGGCAGTGTAGCAGCCACTACAGGGTAGTACCGCATAGCATCTGTGCTTTTGATTCTGAGTGTTTGGAAGGCTGGGGAAACATCCTTCTGTCCGGAAGGGTTGAAGAGGCACTGTGACAAAGTCTGCAGCAGCTTTCTGGGCTCCTGTCATATGCCGATGTGTGTCAGAATATTTATGGTCTGTTTTATGTAAATACATATTTAAGGGCCGTTAGAAGGCCTGATTATTCCCACTAGATGCCTTTCAGGTCCTCCCTACAGAACCGTTTTGAAATAAGTAATGTTTCTCAGATAATCGAGTGACAGTATGTAGACTGCTTCCAAAGGGAGAGCTTGAGGGGCAGATGGGGCAGGGAGGAGGATGGGAAGGCTAGAAGAGAGAGGATAGAAAGTGTTCAAAAGAGCAAAGGAACAGGTTAAGTGTCTTTCACCCAGACTGCCAATATAGTACAATATAAACCATATATATTATAGTTTTTATTCTTAAAATTCAGAGTTAATTTCTGATATGGTTGACTCATTTTTCAGTTCCCTTCATATAAATACAATTTTTTCATAAAATGTAAAAAAGTGTTTTAATTAAATGCAGCAGTAAAACTCCTAAAGAAGCATTTAGCTCTAGGGTATTGTTTTTTTTTTCAGGGGAGGGGGGAGAGAGAGAGGGTAATTGACATGTGTGTGTCCCTTAAATGGAGTAGAAGTTTTCTGAGTTTTAGGTCAATGAAAACTCAGTTTTACAATGGAAACACTGACAGTTTTTACTGTTGCAGCCACCCCCTGCTCACACACTACATCCCTATGCAGATATGTTCATATGTGAGAGCATCTGAAAGAGGGGCCTACAGACATGGTGTGACGCACATGTGTTCTTTCCTTCAATCTGGGTGTTGATAGGCAAGATGTCTTTTGTTATTAAATATACGTTTTTGTAGAAAGAAATGTAGCTATTTGGGTAAAGTATTGTCTCTCCTAGTAGATGATTCCTGTTTGCTTGCCTGTTCATCTACCTGGCATCCCAGGTGATTCCCGAGGTAGGTGTTGGGCTCTTTGCGAAAAAGACGCCTTTGCTCCCCAGGACTGACTTGTTCACCCTGGAAAAAGGGAGCAGTATTTTGTGAGAAGCCGCTCATGGAGGATGCGTGATTCCCCAGGAGGGGACTGAGGTAACTCCTGTTTATTGTCACTCCCTGAACCAGTCTCCCAGGGCTCCTTGTCCAGGGAAATGATGCGAAAATTTATAGGCCAATTACAAATAGTCCACGTGTGTCTTACATATGAAGTGTCTACAGCTATGTTTCCCAGGGCTTTTAAAATAAACATTTCCTCATTAAGGAAACTTTCCAACAAAGGGAAGATAAGTATTGTCTGCTGCCTTGTGATACAATCTATACATTTACTACCCCCGTGGCACTCTGGCTCTCATCATCTGCATTTCCTCATTATTTTCTTTGGGCCACCCGTGTGCCTAGATGTCTGCCTGGGTGACACGGTCTTTGGCTAGCCTGCCAGTCTATCCACTCAGCCCAGATTGGAGTTGGCCGGTATGCATGCTTACTCGAGGGTTGAGAGGGACCAGAAATGCTCATGTGGAGTGATGACTGGCCCTGCCTTCTGGCTTACCTCAGGAATGGGCCTGGGCACTGACCATAAGTGGCCCTCTCCTCGGCCCTTCCCTGTGCTTGGGCAGATTCACAGGTAGGCAGGAAACTGGTCATTCACAGCAGCTCCAGGATGTCCTACTTGCATTCTCAGGTCCCAAAATCCCTGAGTAGAAAATGGTATTTTCTCCTTTGAAATGTGTCATGTGTACCATTTAAGACCCTGTGTTCTAAGAATCAAAAACAGTGGGTACATAGGCCCAGGTCAGCCCAGAATGAGGAGGGTCAGCTACATCATGGTGCCGTGGTTAGTGGGGGTGCTTCCCAAGGGCTCTGGGACTGGGGTGGGCAGGGACCCTAATCTAGGCTTTTAAGAGAATTGCTGTTGCTGGAAAGAATGTTTGGAACATTTCTCAGGTCACCAGGCTGAACTGGACTGTAGCTAAAGCAGATGACCACTGTGAAAGGGTCAGCAGACTGAGGAGGGTCAGATGGTTTTCTCTGTGCTGCCTGCCCCAGAGTAGCCTGATTGCTGCTCAGCTGCACCCTGGGTTCTCCCCGAGTCCCTTTAAGAACTCCTGTGATGTGTTTGGTTGTTTCTGGTTGTTCACTCCCAACACAGTCATGGAGACTCCTTTTCATGCTGCTGGGTTTAATTGTCTTGTTGGGATAAAGAAATGTTTGCACAGCTAAAGTGGGGCCGGGCTGGACGGGAGCAGTCCCTGATGGCTGCAGAGCCAGCTGGCCTGGCTTGGCTCAGCGCGCTGCCCGCCCGCCCGGCGGCTGGGCTCGTTCCCGCTCCGGCTCTCGCTCTCTTCCCTGTCCTCTCTCCACGCCGCGCCGCTCCGGTCGGCGGCTGCCTCCTCGCACGGCCGGAATGCCTAATCACCATGGTGAGAAAACGGACACCGCAGCCGTCCTCCCTCCCCGCCTTGCGCCCTCCCTCCCATCAATTGTCATGCAGAAGTGATCCGGGCTGCTGTTTCCTCACGGCCGCCAGCCTGCCCCTGGCCGCTCCCGGCAGAAGGGTGGCTGGTAATTGATCGTTTGGGGGAGGGGGGCGCGGAGAGGCGCGAGGCCGGGCAAGGGGAGGACGGACCACAGAGTGG